TTAATTTAAATGTGCATGATCGTACGGCTGGATTCCAGAGGTGTGAGTCCACCAGTGCCACGAGTTGAAGATCAGAACGTCCATGCCAAGCCAAGCATTGGCTTGTTTAATGGAGTCAAGCACAAGAACTCGTCCTGCCTTTTCTTGAACCACGTCTACTAGAAACTGTGTTCTGTATAGAAGTATAGTCACTCCATATTCCTGTTATTTGTTTAAAAATATGTGAGTATTAAATTAATTAGTGAGATAAATAGCTTTAGATTTATAAAAGATTGATACATCAAATGATACCTATTATATTCTCCAATCATGCCCTCTTGATCAAATTTTAATAAAACCGAAAGAAAGAAAGACACGTAAACCTAATGAACTAGATAGGTCGAAGTCAGCCCCAATGGAGATAGACTTGTCACTATTTAGTCCCTATGTACACGTAAATAAAACAGAGATCCCCAAAAACAATTAATATTGGATAAAAATAATTAGTTAATATTCGTGAAGTCTCACTTGTTATTTATTATACACTGTGGCGTGATTAGAAAACGACAATGAAGAAGGAGACATTGACCTAAGTGGTTATTAAAATCATTTTGTTTTTGTGGTGTTTTAGTGATCCAATTTGTCGTTTATGTTTGGTTCTATTGAGAAGTCTCTTATAAAATGCTTAATAATTAATAACTACGACTAATTATGTSAGAGTGGTCCTTATTTCAATTATCACAACTTATAATTGTCAAAATTTTGTTATCCTACCAAATTGCAAAAGTATAGTAATTTTAATGAAACTATATAGGGTTATCTTAAGCAAGTCAATTCTTTAAAGAAAAATAGAGAATCATTTTCACAAGATAAATTAAATCGTGACTTTGTATGAACTCTGTTTTCAACATCAATGTGGAATATTTCGCAGTCATATCTCACACTATATGATAATATTTCTTTTTTTTCTTTTTATCTATTTATTATTATATGACAAGTGTTTGATCTATCGAACCCCAWACTTAAAGGAAATTAACATAGCTACGTATCTGATCTTCATTTGACATAACATTTTCAATTMTCATGCAGGCCCTTTGCWTTAGAAWTTTTTTTGAAAACATAGACAGTGTTTATAAGTTCATGAATTATTCACTTACTGTTAATTTATCCAAAAGGAAAAGCAGTTTCATAAAATATCGGAATTATAGAGATCTACATAGGTGTTCGCCCCCCGAAAGGAACTTTGCTCAATGATCTAAGAGAGTCAATATTTTGAAGAAAACTTAATATGAAATCTTTTTTGTTCTTTTTTTAAATAACCATCATTTATAATATGTACATATATTGTGATTGGTAGGTAAAGAAGAAGAAATTTTTTTTTCCTAAAACATTAAGGATCCCACCAAAAACTTTTTCTACACTAAGAAATTAGAAGAAGAAATTTTACCCAAGACTTCTAGTAATCTTGTTTTTATCTTTTTTGCCAAGATTACTATATCTTTGGTATTGTTTTTTTGTATTACCAAACTTCATTTTCTAAATAA